AACAAATTACATGTACAAACACCAAATAGTACAAAGATATCAAACCTCGTCACCTGGTTCTTTCTCTGTAACTAGAGCAGCATGGCAAAGCACTAAATATTTCGCATATCCGTTACCTCATATGTGTCTGTATGTACGTGTGTATACAAATTAATTTATTTTAAATTCTTTTTTACTTCCTTATACAATGATTCTTCAATTAAATGCTTTCTATAAAAGGATTTTTGTCTCGATTAAATCTATATTGTCTATTAAATGAATTAATGAACAAAAGTAGATAACACTACATGTACGACATATTATTAATACGCCCTTCAAGGATTATTTTCTTACAAGGACCAATATTGATATATATAGGCATAGTTTTTCACCGTACCAGGCAGCTAAGTACTAAATACTATTTTCCTCATAAAATTTTCAATCACAAAGTTTTGAAATAAACAACGTTACCTTAATTTCCGCAAGTAATGTGAACGGCAAATATTAAAACTAAGGTACTGTGAGCACTAAGCTCACTAAACGATATACCTCCGCCTCCCATTTTATTATAATGACAAAGTCCATGTTTTGCTCTTGGAGTCCCAAAATAAGTGTCAGTGTCAAAAAGTAATACAGGAGGTGCACAATAGCTCAAGAACCTGTGAAAGTATCATTCAATTTTATTCAATGGTATAGTGGTACTTATCCTCTAATACAACTTATGTCCAAACATCTGTATCTCATTTCCATTTTTAATAACCTTGAAGTATAGTACATGGCATACAGTGAGAATTCCATTGACATGGAAATCATGTGTTGATTTCATGTCTAGATACATACGTATCTAGTTGGTTGAACAGTTTAGCCATAGCCAAGTTCCGTGGGTCGAGAGCCTAACCCAAGGTTTGAGAGGGAAGTGGAATCCTTTTGAAAGAAAATCGCCCTTCTTTTGCATTAAACCTAACTTCGACCGTTGTAGAATCGAAATAGATAGTTTTTCTCACTGATTTCGGTTTGTTTTCAACCATCATTTGCGATACTCTGTTCTTTTCATTTCTTCTTTTGTTTGCAGATATTATCCTCTTTTCTATGATTATCCAGATGTATTTCAGCAACAAGAGGGTATAAATACATAGTAGAACAATTAATTTATAAGATCTTCTTCGCTGTATTAGTCCGTCTGAAACAACAGAAAAAGGTTTCTTAGCTTAAATTAAGGATATATAGTGGTCATCAATATCTTCTCATAAGATGACTTAGTACTTAAAAATATAATTCTACATGTATAGTACTAAAAAAATAATTTAAAAAATAATAAGATAAACATAGAACATTTTTTAAATGTTAAAATAAAGAACTGTGATCGATCTTGGTAAAAACTGAAAAACAAATCCATAAATAGGGTATAAAACATGGACCCCCTGAAATTCCAGAGGAAGAATAAGATGCCTAGGAGAAGTAACCAGCCTCTGTCAACCGGTAAAACCCATCCTGAGTCCTTTGTATTGATGATAAGGTAAACTTTGATATTCTTTGTTAAATTAAGTGTAAAACAAGGACCTACGAATTTCTTTGACACTTTTCAGCCAAAATACGTCCCAATGTTAGATTTATTATATTTAAAAGGTCAATAACCATAACTTTACAAAATGCTGACTTTAAACGAGGTTGTTGAAATCCTTGTAATATTACCTCCTTATCTTTCAGTAACCTAACAGGATTTAAAAATTTATCGTATTCAGAGCATGGATAAGTTAAAAGCAAAACACTTTTAGCAAATGATAGCGGAATACCAGTTATTCTACAAAAAAAGGAAAGTTTACCATGGAAACCATGAAAGTAATCTCGATTGTCATACAATTTAGTGGACCCTTTTCATTTTTAATTGGTAAAACAAATCAATTATGGAATAGATGTAGCAGACTTTGACTGAGGTCTTTCATCTCGAGTTCATTAGGGATATATGGAGTGGACATATAGATGGGAATATATATGTGTCCAAAAGTTCATTCGTGATTCAGGTAGGTTTTGATCCCCTTTTCTTCTTCTGTTTCTTTGTTATGTAATCATATCTGTAAAACTTTGATTGTTTATGATGTGAGAATTTTACTTGTGATCATGTTTATTATTTATTAACATTATTGTCATATCTTTTTCTTTCCCAAGTACTTTTGTCATCGTAATCATTTACATGTAACATTATAGATTTACACATTGTAAGAACTCTGAATCTTTAGTAAGTGTCTTAACTAGAAATATTTTGTATACATCATGTATAACTCTACACCTTCAAATGTTATTTTGGCAATCACTAATTATAATTATTGTATATATTACAGGGAAAGGGTTTTTTTAAGTTGCAAGAACTTGTAACTAATCCCTTTGTATAAATTATACAAAAAATATGTTCAAAACAATCAAGTTGAAGCCCAGAGCAAGTACATATCTATCTTCTCTTTTCAAACAGAAGTTTTTAAGAAATTCTACTTCACTGGAAGAAGAACATAGTTTCATTCTGAGAAGCTGGAAAACAAGGGCTATTCGAGACAGTGCATTAAAAATGAATGGTAAACAATCAGTAAATTAGAATGGAGTTAACGCTTTATTATAGCTGCTGTAAAACTCGTTAAGAATCTTAAAGAAATATTCACTGAAATATGTGAAATTTACAGCAACCAATGTCTGTTTTATAGACACATGAGCAGATGGATTTCAATAAATAAAAACGATATAATGGGCATCAAAAATGGGTAACGTCCTTGACAACAAGGACTTACAACAACCAATGTACGGTTTGTCAAAATTAAATAAATTATCACTGATGATGTTTGATTGACTTTAGGCACATAGCAAAATTGATAGGCATCATTTTGGGCGTAGTTTACACTGTTTTAAAGAAACATTTGACAATAAAAAAAGGCTTAGTACTCAATGGTCACCCTATGTTTTATAAAACAAAATGAGTGAAAAGGACAGCGTATAAGAATATCTGAACAATTATTTTAAAAAATCAAAAATTGTAGTTATCAGCGTTTGTCTGAAATTCAAACAGATAATAAAATTTAAATCCATTGCTCTAACCCCCCCCCCCCTAACAAATTACAATAAGACACACTTGACAAAACAGTCATGGTCTAAGAAAAGCAAAGAATTGCGAAAGCAGAAACTGGTTTTATATGCCATTTTCTTAAATATTAGTGGTCTTGTTCAAATACATATTCAGAGAGTCAGTTCATTTCTGGAGAAGTCTAGAAAGCAAATTTCCGCAAAAAATTGAAAGGTTTATGAAAAGCTGGGACCAGTATAAATTTCTTTTTGGCAGCGTCCAAACCCAGACGCCATGAAGAGTAAAGGAGTTTTGAGGATAAACAGATAGTTAATGTTTTGTCACACCAACAATATTAGCCAGTTTGGGGGATAAACAGATAGTTAATGTTTTGTCACACTAACAATATTCGCCAGATCTTTCACAATTTGACTTGTTTCATTTTCCAAACACCTTTCAGAAAGACGAAACAAGTCCAGGAAATCATAGGATCTGCTATTTTCCAGTAAAAGAAGGACCATATACTCATATACTCAAAACTTTGTCCTAAAAACAATCAGAAATTGGATAAAAATGTTACGGACATGTGTTTTAATTACAAGAGAATATTAAGTGAAATCATACAGAATAAATCATTTAAAAAGGCGTTTTGTTTCTCTCTTAAACTTTATTTATTGAACAGCCCTCGTACATTGACTTTCAGAGAAATTTCGTTGAAGATGAAAAATCAATTTCTGTAAAAAGCACTGTCCAAATTAATAATTTCCAGATAATTTTTAATGCAATCAAATTCTTACCTTGAGATACTGTACATCCAGTATACACAGGAAAAATGTCCACATGTGTTAAACATATGTTTGGTTTCACATGTGTTCAACACATGTTTTATACATGTAATACATGTGTGTAAATAAACACATGTAAAATATATGTTTCATTTATATGTAAAACATATATAAATACACATGTAATACACCTGTGAGATAATATATATGTAAAACACATGTTTTTCACCACACAAGAATAACACATATTATATATATGTAATATATGTGTGCGAAAATACAGATGAATTATACATGTTTAATTTATATAAAATATATGTGTATTCATATACACATGTTATACACATGTTAAGTTTTATCTCATATATGTGTGTGTACATTAATTCAAAAGAATTTGTAAATGTTAGTAATTACTCATGTAAAGTTTTACTTTGTTTATTCCCCCCCCCCCTCCCTTCTAAAAAAAACTTTAACAATTTTCTTTTTCTGTAATAATGCATTTATCAGACAAAATTGATAAAGAATAAATTCATTTTCTTTTCATTTTAAATCTTTTGGGCTTGGCTTACTTCTTGAGTAAAATTAAAATAATTCCGTATTTGTCTCCTGGCCGGTTTTGTCTTTTATCGGATGAAAATGTACGTCATTTTTTACGTCACTGCTGCAGCAGACGTGCTGGGTGTATTGGAAAGGTAAGTGATCTCCAAACAATTTTTTAAAGGCTTTTAATTCATATTGTTTAAATATCATTTCATTTAGTTACAGGTGCGTATGAACTTTCTATATACATGTAATACTCTTATCATTGTGACTTGTCATGCATTTCGTAAACCTAACGATAGTGATCTGTAAGTAATTTTGGAGGAAAATATTTCTGAATGAATGTAAGCGGTTACATGTTAGCTAGGTTAAAGGCATCACTGTTTTTTATAATTTGTATACAGGTAAGTAATTTTGGATAAATTTGTTTCTGAATGAACGTAAACATTACATGTTACTCTATTTTTTAAAGGCATTATTGGTTTTACTTTTGTGGTTACGTACTGATATGAAAGTGAAAGTAGAAACCTTGAAACCGTTGTCATTTGTGACTGTCAGTTGGTGTTTATGTATGTTGAGATGGCTGTCAAGTCGATTCTTTCATTAACTTAATAACAAGTGTTTGTTTTTATGGCCTATAGGTGCATGCAGTAACTTGAGTTCAGTGTCACAGTGCTGCGTCTAAAAAGCCCAAAGCTGATAAGACTGGCGATTGATCCTAAAGCTGATTTGACAGATGATTGCATCATCACAATATTAAAGGTAAAAATAAATACTTGCAATAAAAAATCAAAGTAAACATCTGTAATGACTCCTTCATGACAAAATATTTCTTGATAATTTCTTTTTGTTCCTTTATAATTCTACATTATAATTGTTTATATTGTTTCATAAAAAATAAGTCCCCAACTCAATACTACAATAATTTTATTCTATATTATTAAACAGTTTTAATCCAGTGCACTTTTAAAATATGGAGAGTATGAATAGAATTTGCTGGCTTTAAAAGCTATGAAACTGGTACATGTACTGTAAATGACTTCAAGGGGGGGGGGGGTGGGGGGCAATTGAATTTTTGAATTTAAGTTAAAAATTAATAATAACAGTGACATCCAACTTTCAAGTTACAAGTACATGTGCATATGTGTTGATTGTTGAAAGTACATCAGCTAGCTAATCCGTTGGATATTTACATCTATTATGTACCAGTATTCATTACCTGACATTTATATTTTTTTTCCAATACTAGAGAACATAGTTTCTTGGTAAAATGTAAGATATTAATTAAGACTATTAAGAACCTACAAACATGTACTCTCTCTTTTTGTAGTTGTAGTTTTGTAGTTTAATTAAGTTTTAGTTATGGTTAGAAGATATCTACTGCGTGAATATTTGTTTTACAGGTTCAATATACAGTCAGCGTCTCATAAGAATATATCCCAAGATCCAAGACTTGCTTAAAAGTTTAATTAAGGTAACTACACACTGTTAAATAAACTTTGTTATATTCTTTTCAACAACGTTTGGGATATCCTGGAATCACACTGTCTGTTTGTTTTTGTGCCTGTCTACTTCTCTGTAGTATTTTTTGTCCAAAAATAAAATATTTGTGTCAGAATCTTCTTAATTTTTGGCAATATGAATTAGTAATACTGTTTGAACATTCCAAATTTAATTGTCAAAATCAAAATAAAAAATGCTTTTTATGACTTTATTATGAAGCATATCTTCCAACAGAGTAATTGTCTTGCAAATTACATCAGAAGGCATTGACAAAACACCTAGTATAACATATATAATAACATTATTTTATCCTCGGATCATATCTCTGTTGGTGAATTGGGCATACATTTGTTTGCTGAACTTTAATATTACTTGTAGAATTGATTTTTTAATTTAAGAATTGTTTTATTTTTCTTTTGAAATTTTTGTAGAGACCATTCTGTGCCACAAAGAAATTGTTCAGGAATGGGAGAAATGGTGGATTTGCATTTTGGGTACAGTTCAAAGAGAGTTCAAAATGGTCAAGCTCATGGAAGATCAGAGGGAGGACGACTGGAGAAAACTGAAAGATACAGAAGGAAAAAGAACAAGAAAATATATGAAATAATTATGAAATTGGGAGGATGTACACAATCTTGTCTGCATTTGACCTGTAAAGATTTAATTCCCATTCTTATTTGTATGCTGTAATATAAAATAACTTGATTTTTCATAAATTTACAATAGAGAATACATGACAAATGTTATATGTGATATTTCAATTTTGCTTTGGACACTTTCATGTCAAATCATATAAATTATAAACAAGTACATGGACTAATTATGTTATTCATTTGTACATGTATGGATGTTTAACTATTTAATCATTTTGTGGAAATCTTATAATTTGTACTCAACTTAGAATATGTAAAATATATGTATCAACAAATGCTACTGACTTTTTTGTATACTTTCCTGTTTAGAAAGTACACTGAAAAATAAGTTATTTCTCTATGAAAATCATTTATCAAAAAAGTTGTGTAAGCATTTTAAGATATTAATTTTCAAATATTTAACCCATGAAGATAGATCATTGGAATGTAATGGATTTTCATCTAAAGCAGAAATATCTGATTTTTAAATGTGTACAAGAATGTGTTTTTCCTTGTGATAAATATTGAAAGAGAACACATTTAACTATTTCATATGATTTACATATGCTGCCCTTTTCATATGATTCACATATGTGGACAGGCATGAAAAAAGTATAAAAATGATAATAAGTACAACAGTAGTATTATACACGTATAATTCACAAAAATATAACATATATAAAACACATGTTTAACACATGTTTCATATGTATAAATATACAATGTGTTTATTTTTACACATGTTTAACACATGTGAAACATATGTTTAACATGTGTAAAAATAAAACCAAAACATGTGTGCTCTTTTTATGTGTTTTACATGTGTAAAAAATATATGTTAAACACATGTTTAACATATGTTTAACACATGTGGACATTTTTCCTGTGTAGCAAAGTTGCAGAGACCACGTTCACAGCTGCATATGTCATTGCAGTCCTGACCAAATGTTGGGTATTGACAAATCTTTGAACAGTTTTTGCCATAATACCCAGGTGCACATTCTGAATATTAAGCATTTGACATTATAAGTTAATTCTAGAATTGCAGTAGTCAAGAAATTAAACTTCTGTGTGAAATATTGAAATAAGTGTTACGTTTTATTTTATGATACTTAATCTGACTGTTTCAATACTTGTACAATTTCCAGTTCTAGCGTCTGGCATGAATCCTTCACAACACCCAGTTCCTCTAGACAATCTGCAAAATCATTTCATTGTATGATTTAAATATGTATTTCCTCAGCAAGAATTGATTACTCTTGTAATTACTAGTAATTACATGTAATAATTTTATACAAATCGAGCTTCAGTGGTAAAACAAAGGACAAAATTGACCACATTATGATAACTCAGAGATGGAGAAGTTCTTTGTAGGATGTAAAAGCTATGAGATGAGCAAAATATATTAACTCTGACCACTACATGATACAGCCAAATTGAAAATCAAACTGGCGAACAATGCAAAACCTGAGACAAGTATAATAAAGTACAATGTAGACAAACTAAAAACCTGATTGAAAAAAACAAACTCCAATTAAACTAAGAAATAGACTCAGTGCACTATACAGTGAGGATCAAGATGTCCTAAGAAGGGAGACCAACAAGAAGAAAAAATGATTGTCTGATACCACATATCAGAAGGTTGGAAAAAAACGTAAAATGAAAAAAATAACATTGCAAAACAAGCAAATTCAAAGAATTCCGGGCCCCCACTTTCGCTGTCTTTGTGGGTGAATATATTTTTTTATGACATAGTGTATTGAATATGAACGCCCTTTTTTCTTCTCAATCAAAAGTTATAAGGAACAAGATGTGTTTGTGAAAAACTTATGACCCCGTATGACAACAAAGCGAAGATGAAACTTTTCTTAAATGCAAATTAAATATATTGATACCCAATGTAGGGTCTTCTCACAAGTAATACGATTGTGAAATATGAAAGTTCTATCACCACCTGTTCAAAAGTTATGGCCAAGGATAAGTTTTTGAAAGGTAGGTCAAACTCAAAGGTCAAAGGGCCTATGTTGTTGGTTTTGTCACAAGTATTACATATTTGAAGTATGAAAGCCCTAGCCCTTACCGTTCAAAAGTTATGGCTAAAGTTAAAGTTTTTTAAAAGTAGGTCAAACTCCAAGGTCAAGGTCAAAGGGTAAAAGTTCCTGATATCCAATGAAAGGTCTTGTCACAAAGATTAAATATGTGAAGTTTGAAAACTAACGCCCTTACCGTTCAAAGGTTATGGCCAAGGTTAGAGTTTTTTATAAGTACGGAAATCTCCAAGGTCAAGGTCTAAAGGTCAAAGTTCTTAGCATCCAATGAAAGGTCTTGTCACAAGGATTGCATATGTGAAATATGAAAGCCGTAGCCCTTATCGTTCAAAAGTTATGGCCAAGGTTAATGTTTTGAAAACAAGGTCAAACTTCAAGGTCAAGGTTAAATGGTCAAAGTTCTTGGTATCCAATGAAAGGTCTTATCACAAGGATTACATATGTAAAGCATGGAAGCCCTAGCCCTAACCCTTCAAAACTTATGGTCAATGTTTTTTTTTTAAAGTAGGTTAAACTCCAAGGTCAAGGTCAGAGGGTTAAAGTTGGTATCAAGTGAGAGGTCTTGTCACAAGGATTTCATATGTGAAGTATGAAAGTCCTAGCCCTTACCTTTCAAAAGTTATGGCCAAGGTTAAAGTTTTTCATAAGTACAGAAATCTCCAAGGTCAAGGTCACAGTTCTTGGTATCCAATGAAAGGTCTTCTTACAGGGATTGCATACGTGAAGTATGAAGGTCGTACCCCTTACCGGTCAAAAGTTAGGGCCAAAGTAAATGTTTAAAAATTTTGTGTAAAAATGAGTCAAACTCCAAGGTCAAGGTCAAAAGGTAAAATTTGGTGGTACCCAAAGAAAGGTCTTGTCACAAGAAATATACATGTAATATATGAATGCCATAGCTCCACTGAAACAAAAGTTGTGGGCAAGGTTAAAGTTTTTTGACGGACGGACGGACAGACAGACTGACAGACGAATGAGATTTACTGGTAATCTCCACTCGCTTTCGCGAAAGCGGGGGACAACAAGAGTGAGGCACATGGAACGAAGATGACTATGTAAAGTAAGGAAGTAAATTGACTTCAATTTTTTTTGGCCACACTTTGATCAACAGTTGTCAGTTTTTGCTTCTAAATAAATGTATCAATCATAACTGTATAACTTTTCAGTCTCCTGAACGATTTTAATCATTATACAGATAAATCTCAAAGAAAAGGCCATACGCCAAATGAGAAAACAAAACATTTTCTTCAAAAGGCTTTGAACATGATGCTTAATCTACATAAAAGTAACCCTAAGTATCACAAGTAACAGCTTTTTAAAAAGCTTGCCTGACTAAATCAATCAATTATCAGCATGAGGAGTGATAAACCTTTTGACCATTCATAGGCGTAGTCACAGGGGGGCAGCGGGGGCACTAGCCCCCCCACTTTCAGATGTGGGGGGGCAAGAGTATGTCTGTGCCCCCCCCACTTTTTAAAAGAAGAAGAAAATCACAGCTATTTTCCCCAACATTACCTGTACTATAGGAAATATTCATTGAATGGATCCCCCCCACTTTTTGACCCTTGTATAATTGGATTTGAAAGTAACTTGCCTTTGAAAAAGTTGCCCCCCCCCACGAAATAGGTTTTTCGTTTTTGGGGAACTTTCCTTTTTTTTTTTTTTTTTTTTGCTTGTCAAAGAATTTCTGGAGTTGAGCCCCCCCACTTTTAAGTTTGGTTTTTTTTTTTTTATTTTGCTTGTCAAAGAATTTCTGGAGTTGAGCCCCCCCCCCCCCACTTTTAAGTTTGTGACTACGCCTCTGCCATTAATACTTTTGTAGGTTTAAAACATATCCTAACTTAAAGAGGCTAGGTGGACGTGGCCATTTTTAGACTATTTCTATCTCCTTTAGAAGAAGAGCTCCATTTAAAGATATACAAAAATGATCAAATTTTAAAACTAATATGTATGAAATTTTTCTTTGTCAAATGATAGTTGACAGCTAAAGATATCATATCTGAAAATCTAAGTTATATCTGGTCGTTAATTTTTGGTTAATTTGTTGACCCCCCAGCTTCCTTAATATTTTGAGAACCTTGTGTAATTGAAATCTTGATTTTGTTTAACTTGTAGAAGAATCATTTCTACATACATTTCATATTAAAGAGTTGTTATTCGGGGGGTCTGCCCTTGGGTCTAAATCCTATTATAAAATCTGTCATCAAATCATGCATTGTAAACATTTTAAAAGATGGATATAATTAAATACACATTTTGTTGGAGTGTATTTTCTCCTCTGAAGTAAACAGTAGTAAGTGTGTTCATTTTTTTTTCTTAAAAAAAAGGGGGGATTGGTGATACTATAATATATTGAGAATGAAATAAGTAAATTCAATATTAAGGCCTTTGTGAAAAGAAAAATGTAAGATTCTTCACTAATTTTTATTTATTGTGTGCATCTGAACAGATACATATAATAGATCATGCATCAGGAGACGATGACTTGAACTGCGTTGTTTATTATTATTGGACTAGTCCATTTATGGAATAAACCAACCCCGGGATCGGGAAACAAATTAGAAAAATCATTTCTTTAGTGTTGCATGCCCACATATACTGAAGTATATGATATGTTGTTTTAAAGAATGATATAAAACTTGTAGATAGAATTTCTGAGGCATTAGAATGAGGTTTTCATGGAAGTTTGCACACCCATTCATACAATAGAACAATCCAAGAAAAAGGCGCGAATATAGCTTACTAGTGACATTTGGCGCGAAAAGAGCGATTCACCCCTTTCGT